GTAATATTAATAATGATAAAAACAATGTTAATAGAAATAATCATGATAAGAACAAGAATAATGAGGATGATAATGTTAACAGAAATAATGCTGATAATATCAAAACAATTATTAGTATAGTAAATAAAAACACATAACTTAGGCTTTTTTAAAAAATAGGGCACATTAATAACAACGAATAGAGAAAACAAGACAATATTAATACTAAAAATAATCAAACTAAATATCATCATCATCATAGTAGTAGTAATGAAAGGGAATAATAATCATCATCACAATAGAAGATCTTGAAAAGATGAACATAAAAATACAATACAATAACTAACGGAATACCATAGTAGTACAACAATGAAACTGTCCACCGTGAACCCGATGCCGGTCCCTAGGCCCTAGACCCCAAGACTAGATCCCTAGTTCTGGCAGTGCGGACCCCCAAGCAATGCTAAGACCTCGACGACGGCAGATCGCATGGGTTTAGGGTTTAGGGTTTAGGGTTTAGGGTTTGGGGTTTAGGGTTTGGGGTTTAGGGTTTAGGGTTAAGGGTTTAGGGCTTAGGGTTTAGGGTTTAGGGTTTAGGGTTTAGGGTTTAGGGTTTAGGGTTTAGGGTTTAGGGTTTAGGGTTTAGGGTTTAGGGTTTAGGGTGTAGGGTTTAAGGTTTAGGGTTTAGGGTTTAGGGTTTCCGCTTAGGGGTTTGGGTGTATGGCGGGACCGAAGCCTAGGCAAGAGCACGATTTGGGCGTTTCCGAAATTAGGGGTACCTAAGGGAATCCTTTTGGGGGGGCTTACTATAGGGGTCCCTGACTCTCTTCGTAAACTCCCATTTCGTGAGGAGTGTGAGCACGAGAGCACCCCAAAAGCGACCAGATTCCTGCACTTCGTGATTGACGGCCCGCAGGATGGAGGTGTGAGCACGATAAACCCGAAGCCTAAACCCTAAACACCCCATGATGCTGGGTACGGTCGATTTTCGGAAACCCCTGCTTCCTTAAGAAGAACCCAGTGTCGGCGGCCTTCCGCGCTCTTAAGACAATTAAGGGCTACGGAGGATGCCTTTGAAAGCTTTAGGGCTTCGGGTATTAGTGACCCTAAGCCCTAAGCCAGCCCTAAACCCCAAACCCATAATTAAACCGTAAACCCTAAACCCTAAACCCTAAACCCTAAACCCTAAACCCTAAACCCTAAACCCTAAACCCTAAACCCTTCGTCGCCTTTGTTTTCTCTCGAAGGAACCAAGGAAAGGCTCACTCGGCAACGGGTCTTGGAGACGGAAGATAGCTACCATCGGAGTGAAGGTGGCCCCCGGTACCTGAAACCATAAGCTTCGAACCCTCCACCCTTTTAAGCCCAAACCGAAAAGCACTCCCTACATGTTTAGGGTTTAGGGTTTAGGGTTTAGGGTTTAGGGTTTAGGGTTTAGGGCTTAGGGCTAAGGGCTTAGGGTTTTAGGGTTTAGGGTTTACCTTCTCCAGGAAGCTACTGTATGGACCGTCAGGGTCATGGCCTCGGCGAATAAAAGTCTTCGAAAGATGCTGATTCAAACACGCGGGCGCAGGTGGCTTTGGCATGCAAGCTGCGATCCTGTTGCTGTCTTACCATTGCTATGAGACTGGGGTTTAGGGTTTAGGGTTTAAGGTTTAGGGTTCAGGGTTTAGGGTTTGGGGTAGTATACCGCCCGAAGTCTTCCGAAGTAATTGGGGGGGGGGGGGGGGGGGGGGGGGGGCGGCATATCACGAAGGCAGATATTCTCAATGCAGTCCAACAACTTTCATTGGTGCTAGGTTTCTCTCGCCCACTGTCAGGGTTAACAAGCCCTAAACCCTAAACCCTAAACCCTAAACAGTAAACCCTAAACCCTAAACCCTAAACCCTAAACCCTAAACCCTAAACCCCAAACCCCAAACCCTAAACCCTAAACCCTAAACCCTACCTAAATCCTGAAGTTCTTTTTAGGGTTTAGGGCATTCCCACCATCACGACAATGTGACTGAGGAAGGTTCTAAAAGGTTCGAAGGGCACCATGATTAGGCTGACAGCCCAGATGATACGGTTATTCCGGGGCGTTCACTTGTCCAAAACACAACATTATGAATTACATTAAAAGGGTTTAAAAAAAGACAAGGACGAGAACACCCATGAAGAGAACCCGCAAAAAAAGGGGCTGCCAGCCGCAGAGGGGGGAGCAAGACCCTAAACCGTAAACCCTAAACCCTAAACCCTAAACCCTAAACCCTAAACCCTAAACCCTAAACCCTAAACCCTAAACCCTAAACCCTAAACCCTAAACCCTAAACCCTAAACCCTAAACCCTAAACCCTAAACCCTAACCCTAAACCCTAAACCGCGAAAAGCTGAAACTTCGACCCATCGGCTAGGAAAGCTTCTGCCGCACGCCAAGCGCACCGCGAAAGACAGGTGCAAGGAAGGGATTGAGAAGTGTTTGGGGAATTTCGGGTTTAGGGTTTAGGGTTTAGGGTTTAGGGCTTAGGGTTTAGGGTTTAGGGTTTAGGGTTTAGGGTTTAGGGTTTAGGGTTTAGGGTTTAGGGTTTAGGGTTTAGGGTTTAGGGTTTAGGGTTTCGGGTGGGTTTGGGTGGGTTTTGGGTTTGTAGCGGTATTGGGTTTGTGGTATTTAAGTCTTGGGCTGGGCTTTGGGTGCCAAGGGTCTACAGGGCGCATGGCTTGTGGGGTTTAAGGGTTTAGGGTTTAGGGCTTAGGGTTTAGGGTTTAGGGTTTAGGGTTTAGGGTTTAGGGTTTAGGGTTTAGGGTTTAGGGTTTAGGGTTTAGGGTTTAGGGTTTAGGGTTTAGGGTTTAGGGTTTAGGGTTTAGGGTTTAGGGTTTAGGGTTTAGGGTTTAGGGTTTAGGGTTTCGGGTGGGTTTGGGTGGGTTTTGGGTTTGTAGCGGTATTGGGTTTGTGGTATTTAAGTCTTGGGCTGGGCTTTGGGTGCCAAGGGTCTACAGGGCGCATGGCTTGTGGGGTTTAAGGGTTTAGGGTTTAGGGCTTAGGGTTTAGGGTTTAGGGTTTAGGGTTTAGGGTTTAGGGTTTAGGGTTTAGGGTTTAGGGTTTAGGGTTTAGGGTTTAGGGTTTAGGGTTTAGGGTTTAGGGTTTAGGGTTTAGGGTTTGGGGGCTTAAGCCTTCCAAACGGTCAGAAAGGGCGAGCTATCTTAAAACACCTGTGCTTGCAAAGCAGGAGGGGCGTCTCAGCGGGGATCGGTCGACCATAAACCCTAAACCCGAAACCCCTAAACCCTAAACCCTAGACCCTAAACCCCAAACCCCCAGCCCTAAACCCAACACCAGGTGCTCACCAATCGTCGTGATCACTGCTGGGCCCCCCCTGAGGCATTCTGCAAATCAGGTTCGACTGCAGATAAGAAGTTGCTAACAGCCCTCTAGGCTTTAGGGTTTAGGGTTGAGGGTTGAGGGTTGAGGGTTGAGGGTTTAAGGTTTAGGCTTTAGGGTTTAGGGTTCATGTAGGGTTTAGGGTTTCAGGCTTTAGGGTTTTGTAGGGTTTTGGGCTTTAGGGTTTGGGTTCTGTGCTTGGGAATCTGAACCAACATTTGGGTTTGCAGTTGTCCAGGGTGCTACGTCACTGAGAACACCTTGTACTTCGTGCAGCTGCAATTGGCGCTACCTGGAATGACCACATACTCAAGGGTTTCCTACTACCCCCCTCTATACTACCCCCCCTAGCCCCCCCTCAAATGAACCTGAAATAGACAGAATCATCCCTAACTAGCCTTAACTGGGTAGTAAAACCCTAAAACCCTAAACCCTAAACCCCAAACCCTAAACCCCAAACCCTAAACCCTAAACCCATCCTGGCATGCCTGACTGCTAGCTTCAGGTCCTGGAACACTGAGCTCTGGTGAGTCGAACCGACGGCACTCATATGAAGTAGGGCTTATATTTCTTGTATCCCCAAAAGGACACCCAAGGTCTACACTCACCAATATGAAAAAGGAACCTTATATACACTCACCAAAAACAGATATATAAACCCTGCTTCATATCGGGTCGGACAATTACCAATGTCATTCCCTTGTGGTCCCTTTGTAAGTATACTATAATGACCCCCAAAAACCTATTCTAAATATTCGGGCCCGTGTACTACTCCCAAGGCAGGTTTCCTTCGGTTTAGGTTTTGGGGTTTAGGTCATAGGGTTGGAAGGATTAACTAGGTTCGTGTTCTGCACTTCCGATCTGCCAGGAGCTTCTGAAACGCGTGCAACGCACTGATCGCGTCGCCCTTTTGGGACCCACGTGGTGCGAGACTAGGCGTGAGATTTTTGGGCTGTAGGGTGTTGGGGCTAGGGGTCCAGGGTGTGGGGTTTAATCAAGAGAAGGGTGTTGGGTTTGAAGCCTGCGGCTGAAAGTTAGAGTGTTACGGGGTTGGGGGCTTAGGGTAATAGGGCTTGTGGTTTAGCCTTTAAAGGTTTGGCGCTGGGCGGGCTGCAGGCTGCCAAACCGCGCGCCTCGCCTCCACACATCGTGGCCCTCAATAAAAAGTCTTGTACGCCTGCGGAGATCATTCATACACTTGTGCTGATAAAGCAAGAGGGGCAGCTGAGCAGGGATCTCACCCTAAATCTTTCACCGTAGACTGGGAACCCGGAACATAAACAGTACTGACAACCCCAAGTGGTTTACCCAAGGTCGCGATCACCGCTTGGTCCCTGCCCAGCGACCTTCTGCAAACAGATTCGATCGCTGAACGTGTCGCCACTCTCGGAACTCAAGTTGCGAGACTTCATGTGAGCGGTTTAGTATTTAGGGTTTAGGGTCTAGCGATTTGTAGGGCATTGTAGGGCTTTGGGTTTATATAGGGTTGAGATTCAGGGGAATCTGTTCGGCCTGGCAAACAGGAGAACCGAGTCGCGATCGAGCCCTCGGAAGCCAAAAAATCGGATTCTGGGTTTGGAAACTGCCGCAGGGGCTTGGGGAGTCTCGTTAGGAGGGCAAGATTCGGCCCTGCCCCTAAGCCCTCGGCTCGACCTTGGCACGCTCAGTGCCACAGCACCCGGCGCTCGGCAGGATTCCTTGGTAGCCCAGGAACCATGTTGCAACACGGGCACCGCTTCTTTGGGGCTGGTTACTCTATAAGGGAACCTTGAGCCAAAATAAAGAGGAAAGTCTCAACCCTAAACCCTAAACCCCAAACCCTGAACCCTAACCCTAAACCTTAAACCCTAAACCCTCAACCATAAACCCAAACCCAAAACCCAAAACCCAAAACCCAAAACCCTAAACCCTAAACCCTAAACCCTAGCACAAAAAGAAGTACCATTGGGCTCCAAGATGCATGTCCAACAAGGGAGCGAGGATGGATTGGAGGCGTGCGGAGAGCACCTGCGAGACGGGCACCTGTGCCATGGGGTGGAGTTTGGGGGGAGGCAAGTGGGAGCTCATAGGGTTTAGGGTTTAGGGTTTAGGGTTTAGGGTGTAGGGTTTAGGGTTTAGGGTTTAGGGTTTAGGGTTTAGGGTTTAGGGTTTAGGGTTTGGGGTTTAGGGTTTAGGCTTTAGGGTCTAGGGTCTAGGGTTTAGGGTTTAGGGTTTAGGGTTTAAGATTTAGGATTTAGGATTTAGGGTTTAGGGTTTAGGGTTTAGGGTTTAGGGTTTAGAGTTTAAGGTTTAGGGTTTTGGGTTTAGGGTTTAGGTTTAGGGTTTAGGGTTTAGGGTTTAGGGTTTAGGGTTTAGGGTTTAGGGCTTAGGGTTTAGGGTCCGCCGACCCTGGCAGCGTGTTGGATGGGTTTGAGGAGGCCTCCCCCCCCCACACCCCCCCCCCCAACCCCCCCCACCCCCCCCCCCCACCCCACCCACCTGTCTTTTTGGCTTGTGCTTGTCCTGGTGCTACCCCCTACCCCCCCCCCAAACGTTTCACAGAACTCTGCCAAGCAGGCTGGGACAAACCATGCGAGCGGGTTTAGACCTCTCAACTATGCTCTAGCGGGGTCGGCGGCTTGAGCCGGAGGCTCTTAAATTTAGGGTTTAGGGTACCTCAGGCTCCTCCATGGCTTTCGAGAACTCCAGAAAGGGCGCGCGCGTTCTTTCAGAGTGGGAAGACCCTAAACCCTGCATCCTAAAGGTTGCTTCAGGCCCAGGTTGCGGAATTCCAGGTGCTGCTTGACTCTTAAGGCCCCTAACCCTAAACCCTAAACCCTAAACCCTAAACCCTAAACCCTAAACCCTAAACCCTAAACCCTAAACCCTAATGAAACCCTAAACCCTAAACCCTCAGATTGAAGGAGCCTTAGATGTGCCCATGGTGATCGTGCGCTTGTCGAAGAACTTTTTCGGGCCGTTCTTCTGCACATAGGCGAAGGCCTTTCGGGTGTAGGGTGTAGGGTTTAGGGTTTAGGGTTTAGGGTTTCGGGTTTAGGGTTTAGGGCGTAGGGTCTTCTGCACAGAGGCGAAGGCCTTTACGGGTGAGGCGTGAGGGTAACAGCTCCAAGGTGACCATAGAGAAAACTCTAAGCCCCAAACCAAGAAACCCCAAACCCCTAAACCCCTAAAAACCCTCAACCACAAAACTCCGTACCCCTAGACCCTAAACCCTAAAGCCCAAACCCAAGCTCCTAAGCCCTGAACCCTAAACATCCGTCGGGCAGAAAGCGGGCTCGAAGTGGTAGGGTTGGGCGCTTAGAGCTTTTTGGCTTCAAGCGGGAATGGAAATGCTGCCGCACTCCTAACTGATGTGGTTCCGTAGTTCAGGGCTCAGGGTTGAGTTGTAGGTTTAGGGTTCAGGACTATGGGTTCAAGGGTTAGGGCTCGGGGTGTTGTCACGTTGAGGCCTTGCAGTCGCCAGCTGTGCTCTGCCAAGGGTACGTTCCCGTCGCCAAGACGTAACCCACCACACCGCACGCAAACAAGTCAGCGGCCCGGGCATCGTAGATGGCGTTATCACCAACCGTCTCCGGCGCACGGTACATCAGACTTCCTAGGAAGCCGAAGCCCTAGCCCCACATGACCCCTAAAATCCCCTAGGCCCTTGAACCCAAAACCCTAACCCTAGACCCTAGGGGGTCTAGGGTTGAGGGGTGGGGTGCGCGCCTTGCGCCCAGAGCTCGGGGACCTTCAAAGTTATATTTTCTACCCCCTTTCTGGTTTAAGGGCTAAGGCGGCTAAGTGTTGAGGGCTTAGGGTTCAGGCTTCAGGTTTAGGGCTGAGGATTTAGGGCGTAGGTTGGGATTATATTACCTCGCATTATAATCCCTACTAAGGACTGTTAGTATAAGGGAGAACATCCCAAGGCGTAGGGTTCAAACAGTTCTCCTCGCGGACCCATTGTGGCCGACAGATCTGTGTCATGAACTGCCATAGCAAAGTCGATGAGGACCACCTGCGCGGAGGGATCAAGGACTAAATGTGCTGAACCCCTGGGTTTAGGGTTTAGGGTTGAGGGTTTAAGGCTAAACTTTGGCTAAACCCAAAACCCCATAATCCTAAACCGCAGGACCCCGTACATCATGTTGTGCTTGACTCGCCATGTAAAGATAGAATCCTGAAGCAAGGTCGGCGTAGTCGTAGTGGTTTGCAGTTCCGCTATTGGACAGAGGTTATGACCCACAGATACTTTCCCGACCATACCGCCTCTACTCCGCTGATATTGCAAAGTCGGTACGCAGTTCCGCCGCCGAAGCGTGCGATACAGCAGAAGTGCGCAGGGCCCGAGCAAAACAAAACGGAACCCCAAACACCTAAACCCGTAACAGCTTAGGCCGCCCTACCCTCTCCCTACAGTGGGGGTCGGCGCCAAAGCCCCTGAGAATCCCCTTGCAGGCAGCCCTTCAGGCCCTTGGACACTCCAAAATCTGGAACATCCTGGCAAAAGAAGCCCCTCGACCCCTGGAAGGAGGAACCCTAAACCCTAAACCCTAAACCCCAAACCCCAAACCCTAAACCCTAAAGCATGTGGAAGAAGGGAACCGAAGCGAGTTTAGGCCTAAACCCCACAAGCAATAGGTTGGGTTGGTTTTGCCGCCTGAGAACCTGGCGGAAACCCGTCGGGACACAAGTCGATGAGGGTCTATATAGGGTTTAGAGTTTAGGGTTGGGTTTAGGGTTTAGGTGCTCTTTCTTTCTTTCTTTTTTTCTTTCTTTTTTTTTCTTTCGTGCGGCGTGGGGGGGCGCGCACCTCTGCGCTTGGAGGCAGTTTTGCAGTAGAGGCTCGGCTTGACTCGGCGGCGGGGGGGGGGGGGGGGTCGGGGGGGGGGATAAGAACGTCATTCATATTGCATGCATGCCCAAAACACTGGTATTTACAGCGTTTTCGCCTCTTTGTACCATAGGAAGCGGAAGAAGAAAATCTGTCACAAGCGTCCAGCCTTTCGCGACCATGCCCAACACACGTCCCTCAAAAACCGTCAAAGTCCTGAAATTTGGCAAATGCATTTTCGGAAATGCTAGCCTCCAAAAAACACAGCTGCAGAGGCTGTCTTGGCAGAAATGCATGAAAACATCGCAAATTACGGTGATTGCCGCCGTGCACACAGAACAGCTGTGCGACTCGCGTCATTGCATTTATACATGTACACATACATGTGCATATACATACATATATATATATATATATATATATTATAGTATACATCTCTCGATATGTACGAGTACATGTACATTGTCCATCTCTCTTGATCTCTCTCGCTCTCTCTCTCTCTCTCTCTCTCTCGCTTGCTCCTGTTGAGTGTAGTGTCAAGGGTTAGGATTATGAGCCTAAGGGGCTTCAACGGAGCTCTAAACTCCTAAACCCTTATATAATTGAACCTGGAACCCTAGAGCCCTCCAACTTCAAAAACACCCTCAAAAGGGTTTAGGGTTTAGGGTTTGGGGTTAGGGTTTAGGGTTTAGGGTTTAGGGTTTAGGGTTTAGGGTTTAGGGTTTAGGGTTTAGGGTTTAGGGTTTAGGGTTTAGGGTTTAGGGTTCGGGGTTTGGCTTTTGGCCCTGAAGCCTGCCTCCACCTCCGCGCCCACGACGCGCAGGATCGCATTCTCGGCACAGATGTTTCCATGTGCGATGCCCTTGCCTTGGGTTTAGGGTGCTAGGGTGCTAGGGTGCTAGGGTGCTAGGGTGCTAGGGGTTTAGGGGTTTAGGGGTTTAGGGTTTAGGGTTTAGGGTTTAGGTTTTAGGGTTTAGGGTTTAGGCTTTAGGGTTTAGGGTTTAGGGTTTACCTGGCGGCGTGTTGGATGGGAAAAGGAGGAGGCCCAAAACGCGGGGGGGGGGGGGGGGGGGGGGGGGTCGGTGCACAATTTTTTCGTGGAGGACCGCGCCACCCGCACAGCGTAAACAGGCGGTTCAGCACAGGGGGGTAGGGGCGCCCTCAGCAAAATCAGCGTTTTCGGCCCCCCCCCCAACCCCACCCCCCCCCCCCCCCCCCCCCCCCCCCCCCCCCCCCCCCCCCCCCCCCCCCCCCCCCCCCCCCCCCCCCCCCACCCCCACCCCCCCCCACCCCCCACCCCCCCACTCCCCCCCACCCCCCCACCCCCCCACCCCCCCCCCCCCCCCCCCCCCCAGGCTTGAGCCGGAGGCTCTTAAATTTAGTTCCCTGAAACCTCAACCCTAAACCCGAAACCCTAAAGCCCACACGCTAACGAGGCTTCGCAGCCTTTGCGCCTTAGGGTTTTCGGCCAGCCGGAACATCAAAGTGTGCCGGGGCATAGGGTTCAGGGTCTAGGGTTTTGGGGTTTAAGGTCGCCAGAAGATCAACGCATGCCAGTCATCTGCCTGGCTACAGTGAAGCCGCGTCACAGCTTCAAGCAAAGCGCAAAGCAGTTGTGTTGCCGTCTCTTCGCGCTCAGGGCCCGGCGCCCCCAGACTACCTAGGACGAACACTACAAACCCTATACCCTGACCCTAAACCCTAAACCCTCATTCGGGCTGCCAATCTTCAAGTGGTATTTACTGTAAGCCCTAAGCCCGAACTACGATGCCAATTTCGGATCTCATGCTGACCCGAAGGTGCTGGAGATTTCGAAGAGGTCTCCCCCCGGGGACCACTCCATCAGCAAAAGAACATCGTCCTGGAGATCCTTCGCTTGCGGGAAGTGGAGAGGGCTTAGGGATTCAGGCGCAAACCCACTTTGAGGGCTTCGTATCACCTTCCTCCCCACCCTAAACCCTAAACCCTAAACCCTAAACCCTAAACCCTAAACCCTAAACCCTAAACCCCTAAACCCTTGCAGGCAAGAGTCTCTGTAGACACCGAAGGATGGAACGACAGGGACAACATCTTGCTCCCTGGAAGCTCTCTGCTTGCCCAGCACCAGGCCAAGGAATATTTCGGTCCACGGATCCTCTGCAGATTGCGGGTTGGAGTGGTGAAAGGAAGCCGAGTCGTCTTGAAGATAGTCACAAGGGAAGCGCTTGGCGAGAATCTTCATGTCTCCTGCCGCATGGTCCAAAAGAATCTCGATTTGCGCTTTCGAACCCCTCGCAAATGGGCGAAGGACATGGTCCAAAGTGAAGCGCCCCTCGTCGATAACTGGGATGGCATGTCGGCCGAAGCTATCGAAATCGGGCGTCCAACTAAGATCACTTGTGTCGAAGATGCGCTTGGCCACGCCACCACACGGTTCCTCGGCCAGCGTGCTGCAGGTGCTAGTGCCAGCAAGAAAGATGAGACTGTCCTCCAGATCAGGACCTGTGCAAATCACCTGACTTCTCCAATAACCAAGGGAAAAGAAGCTAAACTTCAATATTCCTACTAGATAAGGAAACCCAAAAAGTTTAAAGTTCTCAAGTAAAGGCGAAGTAAGTCACGGAGTCTGACTGCGACATCTTCCTACCGGCCGAGCGGCAACAACCTTTTTGAGCCATCAAAGTTCAAGCGACACCCTACACCCTCAACCCTGCCGCCATGCCTGAGGTTCACGGATTTCGGGTTTAGGGTTTATAGGGTTTAGGGTTTAGGGTTTAGGGGTGTTTGGGGTGTTTGGGGTGTTTAGGGTTTAGGGTTGCGGGTTCGAGGCTACGGGTTTTGTTTAGGGTTGCGGGCTTGGGGTTTAGGGTTGAGGGCACCGTAAACCCATCATTCAACCTCAGCATTCGCCCCCTTTGCTCGCGCAGCTCAAGTACTTCCGCGCACTTTTGCATGCTGGTTCTGCGTAGGGAATGACGGTACCTAAAGAATCCCTGAAAGAGTATATATAGCGCACTCATTCCCCTAACCCTAAAACCTAAACCCTAAACCCTAAACCCTAAAACCCCTAAACCCTACTAAGAACCAGGGGCTTTGCATGCTGGGCCTTCCGGACTCGGCTGGATGGTAGTGTAATTCTACGACCTTCCGACGCCCAAATTCCGACGTAAGCCCTGAGCAGTCATCCTTCAATGTGGGGGTTTAGGGTTTAGGGTTTAGGGTTTAGGGTTTAGGGTTGAGGGTTTAGGGTTTAGGGCTTAGGGTTTCGGGTTTAGGGGGTTCAGGGATCAGAGTTCAGGCTTTAGGGGTGGCCGTTTGGGGGTTTGGGGATCGAAGTTGCCTTCCTAAACCCTGAACCCCCAAACACCAAACCCTAGACTCGTATCCCTAAACCCTAAACCCTAAACCCTAAACCCGAAACCCTAAACCCTAAACCCTAAACCCTAAACCCTAAACCCTAATAGAGGCTGGAATCCTGTCCTCTCAAGCTGAAGCTTTCACCGAACTCAGAGGCGGATTCATGGCTCTCTAGACCACGAACCCAAAACCCTAGAACCCTTATCCTACATTTAGGGCTTGGGGTTCACAATACCCTAGACCCTAAACCCTAATCCCGAAGTCCTAAGCCCCAAACCCTAAACCCTAAACCTCCCTAAACCTTATGAAGGACTGAAATCCACACCTATTGCTGGTAAGGGGTTTTGAGTTTAGGGTTCGGTGTTTCGGGCTTAGGGCTTAGGGTTCAGGGGTTTGTTTTCTTTTGCTTACGGGCTTATGGGCCGAAGAACTTTCGGGTGTAAAAATCCAGGGCCTTAGGTTTTCATAGGACTTGCGTCTCAAGGCAGCGCTTTGGGGGTGTGGTCAGGGTTTAGGGCGTAGGGTCGCCGGTTTAGGGTTTAGGGTTAGGACTCGGGTTTGTTCAGGGCTTTTGGAGTTTAGGGTTTAGGGCTTTTGGGGGTTTAGAGTTTGGGGCTCAGCCCTGAACCTCAGTGTCTTCGGAACGGGTAGGGGCTCGAAGCTGTGACCCAAAACCCTGAAACCCTAAAAACCTAAAGCCCTAAAACCCTGAAACCCTAAAACCCTAAAACCCTCAAACATATCTAAAACCCCTAAACCCTAAACCCTAAACCTTAAACCCTAAACCCTAAACCCTAACCCCTACAGGATTGAACATTTTTGGGTGTCAGGGCCACGTGTGTGCTGTTGAAACACAGATAACCGAAGGGTAGGAGCGGCAAGCCAGGAGGGGATCCCAAAAGTCCAGCAAACCAAAACCCTACTTGGAGGTTCCCCAATTAGAGTTTAGGGTTTAGGGTTTAGGGTTTAGGGTTTAGGGTTTAGGGTTTAGGGTTTAGGGTTTAGGGCACTTATGACCCCGATGATAAGTCTACTTCATAATCAATAACCATATATGACTGTCACAATGCGCATGGCACTCAGAATCACCAAAACAATCAAACTAACCGTAACAATCTTGGAGAAACGAAACCATCAGAACCGTCCTAGTAGGCATAGATATCAAATAGTTATAATCGTGATATACTTACAATGATTAAGATGATGATGGCCATGATGATGGCCATGATGATGGCCATGATGATGGTGATGATGCCGATGTTGATGAGCAATTGCAAATACTAGATCCAAGAGTAGCCTAGGAATGAAAAGGGCACCCTTTTTGGTTTGAAGGGGATTGTAAGGGAGCCTAACCCTAAAAACGCTCGAATAAGGGCCTACTGCGGGTCCTAGAAGAACCCTCATGCTTACTGGGCATGCCTCAAGGCACAAAGCCACTGATCCCCTAAACCCAAAACCCTAAACCCTAACCCCTAAACCCCTAAACCCTAAACCCTAACCCCTAAACCCTAAACCCTAAACCCTAAACCCTAAACCCTAAACCCTAAACCCTAAACCCTAAACCCTAAACCCTAAACCCTAAACCTACACCCTGCAGTCAGATGCCCTCCTTGCGAGCCTGCCACGAATCAAAAGCTGAAACTTGGAAGGCTTCTCCTTTTGGGGTTTAGAGTTGAATGCCTAGGGCCTCCCTTGAGCTTAGTTGCCCCAAACCCTAAACCCTAAAGCCTAAACCCTAAACCCTGAAACCCCCCCCCCCCCCCAAAAAAAAATGAATGTTTAACTCCTAGCTCCCGTACTATGAAATTAGAGGAGCCCAAAACTCATAAAGCGCTAAAGGTGTAGCAACGTCTCACCAAGTGAGGGTCTAGGGTATATAAAGGGTTTATGGTTGTAAAGGGTTGATGACTTAGGGTTTGGGGTTTGAGGTTTAGGGTTTGGGGCTTGAGGTTTAGGGTTTAGGGTTCACGGAATAGTCGAGCGAAATGCGAACTGAAGCTGTTGCGGCCAGCATGGTACAATGCCCATGGTACACGGTGTTCTTCGCTAAGCCCCGTTGAACCCTGAACACGAAAAGGCATAGGTTAGGAATGATTTTGCAAGCGATGGTGCGAATCGCTTCCGGATTTAGTTCTGGGTCTGGGCACCCTAGTAGAAAAGGGTGGGTACGGCCTAAGCAGGCCTGGGTGGGAATTTAGGGTTTAGGGTTTAGGGTTTAGGGTTTAGGGTTTTAGGCTTGCCTCCTTAAGCCAGCATCAGAGGCTTTCGAGGTGTGGGGCCCAACCCTAAACCCCAAACTGTACACTTGAGACTCTAAACCGTAAACCCTAAACCCCAAGCCCGAACCCCGAATCCCGAAAACCCTAAACCCCAAACACTCGTGCTCTGACCAGCCGTGACAAGCCTGCCGGGGAACTGCACGTCGACACCACTCTGAGCCATAGGTGCACACTCCCGTGTCACTAGGGCTTAGGGCTTGGGGTTTAGGGTTTAGGGTTTGGGGTTTAGTGTTTAGGGTTTAGGGTCTATGGTTTAGGCTTTAGGGTTTGGGGGTTAGGGTTAAGCCTTTCGGGTTTACGGTTTAGGGTTTAGGGTTCAGAGAATTGAGGCTTGGCGTTTAGGAGCCACATGCCTCAGGCATGGGTGTAGGGATTAGGGATTTGGGGCTGGGGGCTTGCCCTCCAGAGCAGCGATGTCGCTGTAATCCCTAAACCCTATTGCTAGCCTGAGCTCAGAACTCTAGACCCTAAACCCTAAAACCCTTTTTACCCTGTACCCTGTTGCCCCTTTACACCAAAACCCTAAACCGTAAACCCTACCCTTTTCCCCTAAACCCTAAAACCTAAACCCTGTAAAACCCTACAGACGCTTACGTTTGAACTTTGTCGCGCCCCTACAGCTCAGCTGGTTCTGGTGTCGGTTCAAGGCCACCTGAAAATTCGAGCAACCAGGCCTCTGGGCTCAGTCAGGGCTAGGGTTTAGGGTTTAGGGTTTAGGGTTTAGGGTTTAGGGTTTAGGGTTTAGGGCTTAGGGCTTAGGGTTTAGGGTTTAGGGCTTAGGGCTTAGGGCTTAGGGTTTAGGGTTTAGGGTTTAGGGTACAGGGTTCAGGGTGCAGGGTTCAGGGTTCAGGGTTCAGGGTTCAGGGTTCAGGGTTCAGGGTTTAGGGTTTAGGGTTTAGGGTTTAGGGTTTAGGGTTCAGGGTTTCGGGTTTAGGGTTTAGGGTTTAGGGTTTAGGGTTTAGGGTTTATGGTTTAGGGGCTTGTCGACTCAGGGTTTATTATACCGAGGGAACCTTAGGGAAGCTTAGGGAGCCTTAGGGAGTAGTGGGGAGTATTAGAGACCCTTGGGTTACATACCCCCCTTGAAGACCACTCCCGAAAGAACCCTATAAGTTTAGGATTTGGGGCTTGTGAGGTAAGATAAGGGCCTTAGTGATTAGAAATAGGTCCATTTGTTTTCTTGGGGGTGGGGGGAGGCCGGGGGAGGCGCGTTAGAGAAAAGCTATCTAGGGGCCATAAGGGAATGCTATGAGTAGCTATCCCGAGCCCTAATAGGTAGGTGGGGCCTGCAACAAAAATCGGCAAACATCAAAAATCGATGATAAAAATCTGCGTTGAAAAATTGAATTCCTCGCAGCCGGGACGCCGCTGCCCCTGTGGCCAAGGCCCCCCAGTTGATGTTCAGGACTTAGGTTTAGGGTTTAGGGTTCAGGGTTTAGGGTTTAGGGTTTAGGGTTTCGGGTTTAGGGTTTAGGGTTTAGGGTTTCGGGTTTAGGGTTTAGGGTTTAGGATTGAGGGTTTACGGTTTGGGGTTTAGGGCTTAGGGCCTGCTAAGTCCCAGGAAAAAGGTGGCTATCTGGGAACCTACATATTGGCCAAATCAAGGGCACCGCGTTTCTTCTGATACTCACCAAAAACCAGGTACTGTAACTAGACCCAGGAATAAAGAAGGAATAAGCCATTTTGGTTGAAAGGGGGCTATCAGGGAACCATAAACCCTAAAACGTGCAGTAAGGGCCTACTCTAAGTCTTAGGTAGCCTAAACCGCAAACCTGTGAACCCCAAAGCCTGAACCCGAAACCCTGAACCACAATTTGGGGGTCCAGGTAGCGTCCCTACATTGAGAGACGGGCGGACGGCAGACTCCGGCAGAGTAAAACACTGAAGAAAGCTTCGAAATGCCCCAGGGGAAAAGGGTTTAGATAAAGGGCAACAGGGTTTACGCTCTGAGGCTACGGGATGGAGGTCTATGGTTTGTTGCTTTTCGGTGCTTCGATTGCATTAGGGTTTACATGGGCTTTAGGGTTTAGGGTTTAGGGTTTAGGGTTTAGGGTTTAGGGTTTAGGGTTTAGGGTTTAGGGTTTAGGGTTTGCGGTTTGCGGTTTAGGGTTTAGGGTTTAGGGTTTAGGGTTTAGGGTTTAGGGTTTAGGGTTTAGGGTTTAGGGTTTAGGGTTTAGGGTTTAAGGTTTAGGGTTTAGGGTTTAGGGTTTAGGGTTTAGGGTTTAGGGTTTAGGCAAAGGGTTGAGGTTGAAGGGTGAAGGGTAAACGCTAAAAGGATCCAGGGTTTGGGGTTTAGGTTTTAGGGTCAAGAGTGTCGATAGCTTCAGGGTTTCTGGTATAGGCAGTCGGCTACTGCCGAGCTACACCCTCAACCCTAAACCCTGAACCCTTAAACCCTAAATCCTAAACCCTGAACCCTAAACCCTAAACCCTAAACCTGCTGGCAATCGGCGCGTCCCGAATGCCTGAGGGCTTGGGGCTTGGGGCTTGATATGCCTGAGCGTCCGGGGCGTCAAGACTATCATCAAGTTCAGGGTTTAGGGTTTAGGGTTCAGGGCTTGGGGTTTAGGGTTTAAGGTTTGGGGTTTGGGGTTTAGGGTTTGGGATTTGGGATCCGGACATCCCGGAGGAGGGCTTCGAAAGACTTTGGCTTGGGTCTGGGAATTTAGTGGGTTGGCCTTGTGGGGTGCAGGGCAACCCTAAACCCTAAACCCTAAACCCTACACCCTAAACCCTAAACCCTAAACCCTAAACCCTACACCCTACACCCTAAACCCTAAACCCTAAACCCTTTGTGGTCTAGGTTCCGAGAGTGAAGACTCCGGCTCGAGGACTTCGGAGTTTGGAGCGGAGACTGAATCGTGGGTTTAGGGTTTGGGGTTTGGGGTTTGGGGTTTAGGGTTTAGGGTTTAGGGTTTAGGGTTTAGGGTTTAGGGTTTAGGGTTTAGGGTTTCGATGCCTTCCACATATTAAAGCACTAAAAGCACTAAAAGCACTAAAAGCACTCGACCCGAAACCCTACATCTGCGACAGGAAAGCAAGCCGCTTTCTGGGATTCGGATCAAGCAGTGAGACAAGCAGAGCCTGATATCCAGCGGAGAGGATGCGAGAGATCGAAACCTTCCCGGGTTTTGCAGGGCGTGGGCTTGGGGAAACACTGGGTTTGGGGCCTAGGGCTTGGGTGTGTGGCTTTCCAGCTTGAGCAGTACTCGGGATTGGGATTCAGGGTGCTAGAAGCTGCAAGGTTTTGGTTCAGGGTTGCAGGTTTTGGTCGTGGAGTTTGGTGTTTAGGAATGTCGCGGAGGATACTGCCTTCGCTGCCGCAGGACCAACGGCAATGGTCCGCTTGTCGAGAAAGCGCTTCATTCCATGCTGGCGCACGTAGGAGAAAGCCTTGCCAGTCGGACAAGTAAGGCTCTTGGTAGCTGTAGCTACGAAACCCTAACCCCAAACCCCAAAACCTCAACCCCAAACCCCAAGCCCCAAAACCCCAAACCCTAAACCCCAAAGCCCAAAAACCCCAAATCCCAAATCCCAAACCCTAAACCGCCACACCCGAATAAACCACGACGGAGCGCGTGTGAAGCCTACACGAGAGGCCTCAACGAGGCTCCGAGGACCCGAGCCTCATTGGTTCTTAGTCATATCTTCTTTGGGGCTGAGTACAAACCCTAAGCCCTAAACCCTGAACCCTAAACCCTAAACCCTAAACCCTAAACCCTAAACCCTAAACCCTAAACCCTAAACCCTAAACCCTAAAAAGGTTAACCTTTAATATATAGTAGGAGGACTCTATATAGCCAAGAAGTTTATAAAGCCAGCCCCAAGTTCTTGCATCACTCCGACCTTTAAGGGATCCCAGACAAACCCTGAACCCTAAACCCGAAACCCTAAACCCTAAAGTAGACACTTTCAGTTCTATAGGAGATGAGAGTACCCCAAAAAGTGTAAAGTGTAAATCGTTCAGCTACTAAGCCTCTGGTAGCACGGGACTCAATGAAGACTGGGGAAGATTCCAGGGACTCGAACCTCTGGGGTGGTAGGCTTGTAGGCCTGAACCCCAAACCCTAAACCTTACACCCTAAACCCTAAACCCTAAACCCTAAACCCTGATTCCTTCTTACCTAGAGGAGGGGGCTCTGGAGCCTTGCAGTCTGGGGCGGTGCTCTGCCAGGGGTAGGTGCCTGTCGCCAAGACGTAGCCCACCATGCCACATGCGAACAAGTCCTTTCTTCTCCAATAGGGTTTAGGGTTTAGGGTTTAGGGTTTAGGGTTTAGGGTTTAGGGTTTAGGGTTTAGGGTTTAGGGTTTAGGGTTTAGGGTTTAGGGTTTAGGGTTTAGGGTTTACCAAGGGGAAAAAAGGTCAAAATTTCAATATTCCTACTAAATACTGTAAGGAAACCCAAAAAGTTTAAGGTTCAACTAAAGGCGAAGGGAGAGTCGGCGGCCCGCGCATCATAGATGGCACCCTCTCCAAGTGTCTCCGGCGCCCGGTACATCAGCTTGCCTCGCGCGCCCGTCACGGCAGAGAGGTCCGTGTCGTGGATTGCCATCGCGAAGTCCAAGAGGGCAACCTCGCCTTCACCTTCCCCCGTTCGGATGATTGCGTTCTCGGCACTGATGTCCCCATGCGCGATGCCCCTTGCGTGTAGCCGGGTGACCACTTCCAGCAAGGAGCAGAGCACCTTAGTAGCCCAGTAACCATATTATAAGGGCACCCCTTTTTTTGGTTGCCTAAACCCTAAACCCTAAACCCTAAACCCAAAAAAGGGCAAAGGGTACCACTGGGCTACCAAGGCGCATGAGCAGCCGTAGCTTCGCGCTGTGGGCCGGGCTCTCCCAGATTGCTTGCAAGGTCGAAGAGGTCCCCACCTGAAACCTTAGTAGTTAGGGTTTAGGGTTTAATTAGGGTTTAGGGTTTAGGGTTTAGGGTTGAGGGTTTAGGATTTAGGAATTGGGGTTTAGGGTTTAGGGTTTAGGGTTTAGGGTTTAGGGTTTAGGGTTTAGGGTTTAGGGTTTAGGGTTTAGGGTTTAGGGTTTAGGGTTTAGGGTTTAGGGTTTAGGGTTTAGGGTTTAGGGTTTAGGGTTTAGGGTTTAGGGTTTAGGGTTTAGGGTTTAGGGTTTAGGGTTTAGCTAGGGCTTGGGTTTGAGGCCCACGAACCATATTACAATAAGGGCACCCTTTTTGGGGGTTGGTTACGTTATAAGCGAACCCATACCCCCAAGAAAGGGTCAAGGGTACCACTGTGCTACCAAGAAACCCACTCCAGCAGCAACAGCACATCCTCCTGGGAGTCTCTGTATACACCTTGGCACGGGACAACTCCCCGCATTCGCGCAGGCTCTTGCCCCAGCTTCAAGGAAAGGAACAACTCCGTCCATGGGTCCTCGCTCGACTGCGTGCCTGCTGGTGACTCGCGAAATGATATGGGATCGTCCCGGAGGTAGGCCCTGGGGAAGCGCTTTGCCACAACCCTTTTGCATCCGGCCGAGTGGTCCACAAGAACTTCGATCTGTGCATGCGTGCCTGCACTCGCATAGGTCTAGGGTTTAGGGTAAGTAAGGCTGGCTGGTTCTTTGCAAGGAATGAAGGAATCAGGGCCCCATAGAATCCCTTCCTATAAGGGGATCTAGGGCCCTCATTCCCTACCAAGAACCAAGGGGAAGGTTCAGGGTACATGCCGTTTCTGAGGATCTCCCCCCCAAACCAGAAATGAGGGCTGGGCGGATAAGGGTGGACAACCTCAAACTGCTAAAGTGAAGGGTTCAAGAAGGGTTCAAGGGTTCACGGGCTCAAGGGAACCCCAAACCCCAAACCCCAAACCCCAAACCCTAAACCCTAAACCCTAAACCTCAAACTTTCGGCCTTCGTCGGACGGTCGAAGGACATGGTCCAGCGAGAAGCGCCCTGGCTCCATGATGGGAAAGCTATGGCGGCCCATCTGGCCAAAATCCATCTGCAATCCAAGATAACCATCGTCAAACACATCGACCACCTCATGTGGGCTTAGGGTTTAGGGTTTCGGGTTTAGAGTTTAGGAGTTTGGAGTTTAGGGTTTAGGGTTTAGGGTTTAGGGTTTAGGCTTTAGGGTGTAGGGTTTAGGGTTTAGGGTTTAGGGTTTAGGGTTTAGGGTTTAGGGTTTAGGGTTTAGGGTTTAGGGTTTAGGGTTTAGGGTTTAGGGCTGCTTGAAGCATTCTTCGCCTAAGCCCTAAACCCTAAACCCTAAACCCTTAACCCCTTTCCAAGGCCCTGTATAGTACGGCACCCTTAAAGCGAACCCCACAAGGGACCCTAATTTAGAGAACTACCCACATACACATCTCCCATGTACCCACAGATGGTGCAGGGGTTTGGAGCGCTTGGAGGTTGATAGTGTTAAGGGTTTATCGGGTTTTTGGGTGAGGAGAGTTCAGGGCCTAGCACTTAGGGATCTCTAAACCATAAACCCGAAACCCGAAACCCGAAACCCTAAACCTTTTAAACCCTAAACCGTAAACCCTAAACCCTCAACCCTAAACCCTTACCCCCAAACCAAGCCACATCCTTAAACACTTTGGGCATCTCCGGCATCGCGTCCTCAAGCTGCGAGCCTCGGCCACGAGCCGAAGAATTCCGGTGGTTTGGGAATTTTTTTTCCGGGGTGGGGGGGAGGGGGGGGGGGAGGGTTTAGACCTAAAACCCTAAACCCTCAACCCTTGGGGTTAGGGGCGGTTGCAGGGGCAACCCTTCCCGCACGGAGGCTGCAGTTTTTTGATTACTGTTGGCTAGTAGGGAATGGCGGGGGCACCTCACCATATATAGGGGTGTATATATATATATATAGGGGTATATATAGGGATATAGAAAGGGGGATATATAGGGGTATGTGGGGGTTCTTTCTGAATTTCGAGGGGTATATATAGGGTGATATAGGGTACCTCATTCTCCCCTGCCCTACGAACCAACAGTAAGTTTTTTGTGTTTTGAGGATCCCGGGTCTGGGAGGGTTGGAGGGCGTTTTAGGCCCTGGGAGTTGATATGTTTGGGGCAAAAAGGTTTAGGATTCAGGGTTCAGGGTTATTTAGGGTTCAGGGTTTAGGGCTTAGAGTTTAGGGTTTAGGGTTTAGGGTTTAGGGTTTAGGGTTTAGGGTTTTGGTCCCTACCAGAAAATTTCATCCCTGAGACCTGCCGACGTGCGCGGTGTCAGTCCGGGGACAAGAACAAACAAATCAATGTCGGGTTCAGTATGTGTGACTTAGGGTTAGGAGCTTTCCTTTCTTCGGGTAGCTACATGGGCCCTTAAACGGGGACCCCTTATATACCCCCTATATACCCCACACAACCCTATAGGGGCCCATACATCAGAACCCTTTAAAAAAGGTTAAAGCGATAAGGGACCATATTAAGGGCCCATGAAACTACCCTTAAATCAGTTGAGGCGCAGCATGTGCTAGCTTGGCTCACCTCCCGCTGCCTCTTATAAGCGGCAGGCTTGAAATCACGGCAGAACCAGGAATCCATCACTCGAGCTACACTCCTCCACCCACGCCACAGGCTTCGATTACTTCTCCAAAGCACATGGGTTGTGGAGTTCTCAAATACTCTAGCAATCCTACACAACTTCTGAGTCAAACGCATGGAGGATCAGAGGCTAACTATTTTTGTCAAGCAAGTTCGTGTCAGCCCCCCTGAAAAGGATTACGGCCTGCATCTAGGCTCTTTTGAGGGTTTAGGGTTGAGGGTTTAGGGTTTAGGGTTTAGGGCTAGCTGCTAGCTAAACCCCCCACGCGCGCAACACAACATGGCCCCCAGCTTTGAGCCAGAGAAGCAGTGGGTGCAAATGGATGGACGCGAGTCAACCCTAAGCCCCATAACCTTGACCCTATACCCCCAGCTTAAGCCCTAAACCCTAAACCCTAAACCCTAAACCCTAAACCCTAAACCCTAAACCCGATGCCCCTGGGCCCTAAACTTTGGGGAGTTTCATGGCATTTTTTGGGGCGGCAGACCCACAGGGTGGATACGGAAGTCCTGGCTAACTGAAAAGCCTGGATCTGTGAAAGAAGCAGCTTCGTTGCGGTTTGGGGTTTAGGGTTTAGGGTTTAGGGTTTAGGGTTTAGGGTTTAGGGTTTAGGGTTTAGGGTTTAGGGTTTAGGGTTTAGGGTTTAGGGTTTCGGGTTTCGGGTTTCGGGTTTAGGGTTTCGGGTTTCGGGTTTAGGGTTTAGGGTTTAGGGTTTAGGGTTTAGGGTTTAGGGTACATCCGGGAGGAGGGCTTCGAAAGACCTTGGTTCGGGTCTGGGATGCAGTCCAGAGTGATGGGTAGGGGTTTTCGAGCCCTCCCCCACAACCCCCGATTCTAAAACAGGTCTTAGGGTTGTGGGCAATAAGCCCTAAACCCTAAACCCTAAACCCTAAACCCTAAACCCTAAACCCTAAACCCTAAACCCTAAACCCTAAACCCTAAACCCTATCTGGAGTCGAGCCCCATCCTAGGTAAGACGTCGAAGTCACGCACATCACCGAGGACCACCCTGGCAGTACTGCCAGCAAGCGGACCTTAGGCTGTCTTGCCCGCAAGAGGCCCTATAAACCCCTGGTTTAGGGCTCAGGGTTTAGGGTTTTGGGTTTAGGGTTTGGGTGTAGGGTTTAGGGTTTAGGGTTTGGGGTTTAGGGTTTAGGGTTTGGGGTTTAGGGTTTAGGGTTTAGGGTTTGGGGTTTGGGTTTAGGGTTTAGGGTTTGGGGTTTGGGGTTTAGGGTTTAGTGTTTAGGGTTTAGGGCTTTGGTCTGCGAGAGTGCTGCCAGATGAGGAAGCCGCAGGTTTAAGGTTTGCTCAGAATTTCGGATTCGAACCTTGGGTTTGGGAGAACTAGGGAGGGATTTAGGTTCAGGGTTTAGGGTTTAGGGTGTAGCGTTTCACGTTCAGTGTTTAGGGTTCAGGGTTTCATTAGGGTTTCCGGTCCTTGGGGACTTTAGACAGACCCTTAACCCTAGATCCAAGCATGCGGTTTAGAGATGCGCTACGTCCCCAAAAAACCCAGGACCTCGAACAAAGCAGGAATGAAGGTTTGGGGCTGAAATCTCAGTTGAGTCCATGGCCAAGGGCCCTCAACCACAATTTGGGGCCTACGCCCAAAATCCTGAATTTCTAGTAGGATGCAAGTTGTTGCTTTTCTGTTCCTTTTGGAGGGTTAGGTTGGGGTGTCCCCGCTCATACTGGGTCCTTAATAGGGACTCTAGCAACGCCTAAAGTTATGGGGGGTTTCGGTGGGTGAAGGTGCGGAGCATTGCCATGCACCGCAAGCTCAGCACCATTTTATATAATGGGATGAGTTTTATAGGTTCAGGGCTTTGGGTTGCGGGTTGCAGGTTTAGGGTTTCGGGTTAGGGTTTAGGGGTTAGGGCGAAGCCCTCGTAGCCCGCAGAAGCTTAATCATCCAACGGAACCCTGCTGTGCAGACTTGAGACAGTGCATGACAAGGACCTTGAAGTTCTCCTCCGCAGCCAAACTAGGTTGCCCAGCAACCGAGGGAAAAAGTGCCCCTTTGTTGCAAAAAAGGGGTTCATGCGGGAACCCAAGTCCCGCCACAAAGTGACCGGGGCCTATCCTGGGTCCTAGTAGCCCGAAACCCTAAACCCTATACCCTAAACCCTAAACCCTAAACCCTAAGATGGTGTATATATACCTAAACCCTAAACCCTAAACCCTAAACCCTAAACCCTAAACCCTAAACCCTATACCCTAAACCCTAAACCCTAGACCCTAAAGCCCCAAAGAGGGAGTATATAAGGGGTACACCCCTGGGCATCCTGGCACAAGCCGATGCAAGGCTTCAGAGCTTCGAGCTTAGGGTTTTGGGGCGTAGGCCCTGGGTTTGAGAATGCTTGGGGGTTTAGGGTTTAGGGTTTCGGGTTTAGGGTTTAGGGTTTAGGGTTTGGGGTTTGGGGTTTAGGGTTTGGGAGTTAGGGTTTGAGGCTTCCGGGACTTAGGGAAGTGCCTTTGGGCCTTCTGGAAGGACATCTTCTGTTCAGCAGGGTTCTCGGGTTTTAGGCCATGAAGCTTAAAGTCATGGGCATCCTGTCCCTAAACCCCGAGAGGAGCCGTCTTAACTAGTAGATATGGAGGCCTATGATCCAACACATGAACATATGCAGGGTTTAGGTTTCAGGGTTTAGGGTTTAGGGTTTAGGGTTTAGGGTTTAGGGCTTAGGGCTTAGGGTTTAGGGTTTAGGGTTTAGGGTTTAGGGTTTTAGGGTTTTAGGGTTTTAGGGTTTAGGGTTTCCAGGGTGACTTCGACAAAAAGGGCGGGTAAACATCCCAAGTCTAAAGTTTAGGAAGCCACAGAAGGCCAAGCCCGGCGAAGTCCTAACATCGAAGTCCGCCCTAAACCCTAAACCCTAAACCCTAAACCCTAAACCCTAAACCCTAAACCCTAAACCCTAAACCCTAAACCCTAAACCCTAAACCCTAAACCCTAACCCTAAACCCTACACCCTAAACTGCATTCCTTGGGCTGTTTTTGGCCACTCAGTCCACATCCCACCTAAACGCTGCACTAAACCCTGAACCCCTCTGCTTGGTCTCTTCGGGTAGTTACGTGGTCCCTTCGTATGGGCCCTTAAAAGTTCACCCTCCCCTTACGTGCCCCTCCCATACCCTATACAACCTAAGGGCCGTAGAAAGGGATCATGCAAAGGGACCATAAACCCTAAACCCTAAACCCTAAACCCGAAGATGGTGTGGGTCCTCCTCATCGTAGACTATGCCGTTGGAGCTGCGGACACGACGAAGTTGGTCCTGGCACAATCATAGCCAGCTTCCGAACCCTAGGGCTTAGGGCTTAGGGTTTAGGGTTTAGGGTTTAGGGTTTAGGGTTTAGGACTTAGGGTTTGGGATTTAGGGTGTAGGGTTTAGGGCTTAGGGCTTAGGGTTTAGGGTGTGGCTTTCTCTTGGGGAGCTGGCTACTCTAGCCCACACAAGGTTCACCGTTTGTATAAAGTAGGATTCTGCATAGCCAAGAAGGTTAAAGGTGACCTAAAAAAATCAGAACCCCAAAACAGCCTGAGGAGCAGGGTGAGTTTTCGGGGGTGTTTAGGGATGTGTCGGTGGGTCTGCATACACATGACAAGCACAAGAGCCTGAGTCATCAACTATTAACAAAATTATAACCCCGACAGAGCAGCCCAAACCCCTAAACCCTAAACCCTAAACCCCAAACCCTAAACCCTAAACCCTAAACCCCAAACCCTAAACCCTAAACCCCCTAAACACGAAACCCTCGACTCCAGGCTTGTGCGAGCTGCACTCGCCGACAAACTGATGACAATAACCCGCAGATCTGCGTGGTCATGTACCCCTAAACCCCAAACCCTAAACCCTAAACCCCAAACCCTAAACTCTATGCACTAAACCCTAAACCGAGTCTCGAAAGAATCCTCAAAACAGATTCTTAGATGCGTCTTTTCTGACGATGGCCTAAACTTCAGGGTTTAGGGTTCTAGGGTTTGGGGTTTGGGGCTTGGGGTTTGGGGTTTGGGGTTTGGGGTTTGGGGTTTGGGGTTTGGGGTTTGGGGTTTGGGGTTTGGGGTTTGGGGTTTGGGGTTTGGGTTTGGGGTTCGGCCAATCTAAGCCCCCTCGACTCAGAAACCCCCCCAAAAGCCATACCTCCCAGAATTTCCAAAGCATCCACCCTCGGACTCCCCCCCCCCCCCCCCCCTCCCTGAGCCCAAAACAAACAAGCGCAACCCTAAACCCCCCAAACCCTCAACCCCAAACCATAAACCCCAAACCCGAAACCGTGGAACTCGTAAACCCCAAGCCCTCAAAATCCTGAAGCGCAAAAGCCCTGCACCCCAGAAACCCCCAAGCCCAAAACTCCTTAAACCCCAAACCCCATAGGCCTAAACACCAAAACAAAACTAAACCCCACACCCCCTAAATCCTAATCCTAATTCTTAAACCCGAAATCCTAAATCCTATCCCCTGGACCCTAAACCCTAAACCCTAAATCCTCCTACACCCTAGACCCCAAACCCCAAACCCCAAGCCCTAAAACCCTGAACCCTCTTTTTGCGTTGGTTACTTTACAAGGGAACCCTGAACCCTAAACCCTAAATCCTAAACCCTAAACCCCCCAAAAAAAAACAAAAACAAGGGTACCACTGGGCCACCAAGCCTGCAACGGCGACTCCTCAACGAAGTGAACTGTTCGGAGGTCCTCCACGTCCTGGCTAGGGAGGATTTTTGCGCTGACATTGGAAAGTTCCCCCTTTTTCTAACGGTCCTTCATAGGGATTATAGCAGGGGGTACCATTTTCCCTATTAAGGACTGATAGTTAGTATAAGCGGGAACAGCCCAACCCCGACATCCTAAACCCAAAGCCAGCGTGCATGCAACGAGCGACTTACGCCGATGCACCGGTACGCCAATTTGATCTTCACCCCTCCCCCTTCCCAGACGCCGATACGCCGATGTCCCCCCCTCCACCCTCCCGAGATATCCCCCCCTCTGCGTACGACGGTATACGCCGATACACCGACCCCACCCCACCCCCTGCCCTCCCTCCCCGACATACGCCCATATGCCCTCCCTCCACATATCTCCCCTACATACGCCACCCATCCCATACGCCGATACGCCGATCTCCCCCCCCTCCACATAAGCCGATAAAAAAGCTTTATCCATTTCAAAGGCCTTTGAATAAGATGTCACATTTAGCAGCATGCTGCACTGTAAACTATTCATCAGGTGTGCCAGGATGACGGGTTGAGGGCTTAATGAAGTCTGAAGGGGGAAGAAAAGCAGAGGTTTACCTAAGCCTCAGATGCTTTACACTGTAAACATAGTCCTTTCCGCTTAGTCTAAAGGCATGAATGGTAACCGAACTGTTAACCACAATAAAGTAGTAGTAGTTCTTGACAAGAGCCGCCCATCTTCCTAAGAACTTTGGGGTTCAGGGCTTAAGGGCGTTGAGGGCTTGAGTCTTTAGCGCCTTTCGGCGTTTGGCGCTTAGGGCTGCGGTGTCGGGCTTTGGGGTTTTGGGTCTTGCCTAAACCCTAAGCCCCAAACCCTTAGCCCCAAACCCCAAACCCCAAACCCCAAACCCTAAACCCTAAACCCTAAACCCTACACCCTGCACCCTAAACCCTAAACCCTAAACCTTAAGCCCTAACCCTAAACCCTCAACCCTAAACCTTAACCCTATGGGCGGTCCGGAAACTTGACCTGCACTTCCACCGCCGGCTGCTTGAAGGAACCCACCATGGCGCTTGCAGGGTTTAGGGTTTAGGGTTTAGGGTTTAGGGTTTAGGGTTTAGGGTTTAGGGTTTAGGGTTTAGGGTCTAGGGTTTAGGGTTTAGGGTTTAGGGTTTAGGATTTAAGGTTTAGGGTTTAGGGCTTAGGGTTTAGGGCTTAGGCTTAGGGTTTAGGGCTTAGGGCTTAGGGCTTCGGGGGCTTGTCGCGCCTGGGGGGGATTGGTCTAGGGCTCAGAACTGACCTTCGTTTAGGGTTTTGGGTTAAGGGCATAGTGGTCTCAGGGTTTTGGGGTGTTGGGTTTAAAGCTTTTTGCCCTACGTGGTAGCTTCAGGTCTGGGATTGCGGTCCATGGAGTAGGGCTTCGGAGTGCAGTACTGTTGGGCTTGGGCTTCAAGGGTTTAGGGCTTAGGGTGTAGGGGGTTTAGGGTTTAGGGCTTACGGTCTAGGTGCTGAAGTAAGGCTAAACACTACACCCTGGAAGTTTGGGGTCTGAACTGAACTTCGAGGGGGAAACTTGAACCAATGCGCATCTACTCGCGAGCACAAAAGTTTTAGGGTAAGGGTTCAGGGTGCCTAAACCTTAAACCCTAAATCCGAACCCTGAACCCTGAAGTTTAGGGGTTAGGGTTGGGGTTCTGGGGGATGGCACCTGGGAAACATCTGCTGAGGGTCCTAAAGCTCTTGAGGGTTGCAGCAGAAGAGGTCCTAAACCCCCGAAACCCCAAACCCCAATCCCTAAGCCCCAAACGCTAAACGCTAAACCCTGAGGCCCTGAGGTTGCACTCGCTTTAGTATCTAGGGGTCCCCCTAAGCAATTTTGAGGCTTTTGCGTACCCTCTATGTACCGGGGTCTACGGGTAGGGCGGGTAGGAATTGCGGGTAATGCTTGTCAATAGGGGTGACCTCTATAAATTTTCAGGAACTTCGCAGAATAGCGGGTAACGATGCTGAAAAGGGCGCAACATTATGTAAAAAGGAACCCAAAGCGCTAAACCTAAGCTTCTCAATTCACAAAACCCCCAAACCCTAAACCCCAAACCCCAAACCCTAAACTGAAGACCGGCCGGTCGCAGCAGGCGCACCGGAAGGCGCTTGCGGACCGTAGGCGAAGGCCGGAAGGCGAGCCGTAGATGCTGGACCGGACGCAATCGCAAAGGTCACTCCCAATCTGTACTGATAGCCCTCAACCCAGGGCCCTTCTGCTCATCCCACGAAAATTAAGGGCTTGGGGGCATAAACGAAGGGCTTGGCATCGAAAATTAAGGGTTTCGGTTGTGAAATTACGGGTTCGAAACCATCCGGAACAAAATGTGCTCCGTTTTATTCCTAGGCCCTCCTCCCCATTTCAGCCCCCCCACCAGGGCCATCCGCCAGGGTGTTCTTTCCAGAACCAAGCCAAGAGGCATAAACATGTGCTCCTCTTGCTAGGTGGGGTGGAGAGTAGAAAACCCTAAACCTGGCAAAGGTTTGCGATTTGGGTTCGGAGGGTGGGACTTCAGCTCCTGCGCCGACCCCCCTTCCACTTGATCGGGGGGGGGGGGTCTAGGCGCACTCAAATGGCAAACCTGAGCCCTGAACCCTAATCCCCCAAACCCTGAACCCTGAACCCTAAACCTTAAACCCTAAACCCTAAACCCCTAAACCTCCAACCCCAAACCCCAAACCCTAATTCAACCCTACACCCCAAACCCCAAACCCTAAACCCCAAACCCTAAACCCTGAACATCCCCAAACCGGCCGGAAGAGCCGCTCTCACAGCTGGGATTCCGGCCCCCCGCGCGAACGCGCGACCTCGGCGTGCCATCAAGGGTTCAAGGCGTTGTGTGAGCTCTCTAGAGTTCAGGGCGGAGAGTTTAGGGGTTTAGGGTTTAGGGTTTAGAGTTTAGGGTTTTGGGGGTTTAGGGTTTGGGGCTTAGGTTGGACTCCCAACCTCCGAAACCCCAAAAACACCCTAATTCCCTCAACCTCAAATTCTTAAGCTGCAAAAACTAAAGCCCCCAAACCCCAAGCCCCAAACCCCAAACCCCAAACCCTAAACCCTACATCCTAAGCCAGGGTTCAGGGGGCTTGAGAGGTTTGGGGTGGAAATCGTGACAAGAAGTCGGGCTTTGGCTGGTGGCATCTCAGGGTGCGAAAGGGCGGGTTTAGGGTTTAGGGTTTAGGGTTTAGGGTTTAGGGTTGAGGGTTGAGGGTTGAGGGTTGAGGGTTGAGGGTTGAGGGTTGGGGGCTTAGGGCTTAGGGCTCAGGGCTTAGGGCTTAGGGCTTAGGGCTTAGCATCGTAAACCTCTCCATCTTATAGCTGGAGTCCCCGGCCCTGCAACTGCGGGAGCTCCAGTGTAGGGTCTAAGGTTTGGGGCTTAGGGTTTGCGATTTACTTAAACCCTAAACCCTAAACCCTTGGGGCTTTAGGGCCA